TACTTACAGGCTGTGAGTCAGAAGCGCCAGACTGTCCTTGCAAAGTTGGAACTGCCCCACTTTATAGAAACAGCCTTTGTGCACAGACGCATTGTAGGCTACTCTGCAGGTTCAGGAAACAGTCCTCCATAAAATGCGCTGCACACATCTGAATATTTGGGTTCATAGGCGGAGGGTGAACCAACTCCAAGTAAAAGCAGCCAAATGTATTAAACATAAACCCGTGTTTTTAGGCAAGAACCAGACATGGGTGTCGTGTAGGCTAAAAAAAAATGTTTAATGGGACTGAATTTGTATTTAACGTGATTACAGTTTAATAAAAACGTTAGAAATTGACATTTCCTTTCCACAGTTATTCAAACAGCGAATAAATTATATATAGAAAGTGACATTATCACTAACTTTGTTCTATCGCGAGTTTAAGCACTCTCAAAAAAACAAAACTATAGTTATAAATCACTGAAGCTGTATACACTGTGAAATGAATATCTTACTTGCATTGTATGTACATCTGCGCTTTGTTTATGATGAGAGAATTCGCAAGAGTCCGGAACGCGTGCGCACTCAAGAAAACTGATCTGTTGCAACGATGACTCATCTGAACGCCTCTGATTGACCATTGCATTCCTAAGCTCAACAGAATTGTGTGTGATTGGTTAAAATGCTCAACACTGTAAAAACGCCTAAAATTAAATACGGTGCAACATGAGCAGATCTTAATTTAATGTCGCAATGGACAATGTCTATTCATATTAACTTTGTTAGCAACAGACGTAATAGATTTAATTTGTTTGTGCAGGGGCATTTTTGTCCAATTTAGTGGCATTTTTGCCCCAAGTCCCCGACTCCCCGTGGCCAGGGGAAGGCTAAGCCTGTTGAACTGTTCTAAAACAGTGTTGTAAATACAACTTAACCACTGATTTCTAGTTGTGTCCTCTTTTGGAAGGCCAAACAAAGTAGTTTCGCTTTCACAACGAAACATATAGCGTCACACACGGCGGGCTTGTATGAGCGGAGGCTGGCGGCTAGAGTGAGGAACGGCCGGCGGGCTTTAGAACGGTGCGTCTGGTGTGCTTTCGGCAGCCACATGTGACGGCCCCGGGCTGGTCTCTGCTTCGTCCAGTTAGAACGAGCCGTTTTAGGAGGGCGTGGACAAGTCTTAACTTTTGTAAAGAATATCTCTTTGGGTTTGAGACTTTAGTCTTTGCAACTTTAGGGATCTTATCTATGCACGAACAGCTTGTAACACTCCAAAGAGAAAGAAAAAAATTAAATTGCATCGTATGACCCCTTTTATTCATATACATAAACCCGACTGATAAGGCCAATAATGTGTCTACTCTCTTTCCTTTCTAAAACCCCTGAACATCTATGTAAATGATTCTTTTAATTTTTTTGCTCTTTACATTTGATATTTTTCACTTCAGGGACGAGTATTTCAGGATGAAGGTTCAGTGGAAATCAGTTAGTGAAGAGCAGGAGATGAGGAACTCTCTCTTTCGAGGATACCGTAGCCTCATAGGTACGTTCAGCTGTGTCATAGGTCTTACAGCAAGTGTAACCGGTCACTTTCTACATCTGACTTGCTCCTGCTCTTTGATTGGACAGAACGGGATGTGAATCGAACAGACAGGCACAATTCCTTCTTTTCTGGGAATGAGAACCCAGGACTTGCACTGCTCCATGATGTACTGATGACGTACTGCATGTATAACTTCGATCTGGGTATGTCATTTTAATTCCACCTACCGACCACTAGAGGATGCTGTTATCTCTCACATCGCTCTCTCTCACTTTGCTCTTTAGGTTATGTCCAGGGGATGAGTGATCTTCTGTCTCCTCTCCTCTTTGTTACCCAGAATGAGGTGGAGTCTTTCTGGTGTTTGACAGGCTTTATGGATTTAGTGGTCAGTAAACACACTTGTTTTCTGATTGTGTTATTCAATCGATGCATTAGCTCTGGATATAAAGTCTTTATGTGTCTTTAGCACCAAAACTTTGAAGAGTCTCAAGAGGCCATGAAACAGCAGTTGCTTCAGCTCAGCGTCCTACTAAGAGCACTTGATCCAGAGCTGTGTGACTACCTGGGTAAACACAAACACACATTCTCTATAAACCTCTACTTTCTATATGTGTTTTTTCTCTTGTTGGCTGGTTTAATTTTATTTTTTAAATTTTTTTCTCTCTTAGACTCTCAGGACAGTGGTTCACTTTGTTTCTGTTTCCGTTGGTTACTGATTTGGTTTAAGAGAGAATTCTCTTTTGAAGACATCTTGAGTCTGTGGGAGGTAAGATTAAAAAGTTATTTGTATGATTTTCTATGACTTTCATTAAACAGTGTTTTTCTACTATGTTGTATGTGACTGTGTGTGTTACACAACAAATTTTGTCATGAACAAAAAAAAGAACACATTATGAATTTTATATTAGGGTAGAATTTCTGAACTTGGCTCTTTTGTAAACTCAGATGATGTCACTCTCTTAATTATGTCATTTAAAACTGAAGTTCATATTCTATTTTTAAAACATTGATATAAAATGTACCATCATCATTAATAATACATTAAATATGATGCATTTATAATTCATTTGAATTAATATATTTGAGCAAAATATACTGACTGATAACCACATATAATACAGCATGTGAACTTAAAGTAGATTTCTGTTGTATTCTGTAGTTTAATTAACTTAAAAGAATGTGCAGTCTGCTATCACAGTATATTTTTATACACAAGCAACACAAAAGTTTTGATTCTTAATACTGATTTGTTATATTCATATATTAAATATTAAAGACCCACTTCTCATCAGTGTTATATATTCTGGATTTTATATATATATATATATATATATATGTATATATGTATATATATGTATATATACTGTATATATATATAGAGAGAGAGAGAGAGTTTTTGTACTTCAACTTATTTATTTTATTACAGTTAGATGCCATGGCAACTTTTCTAATTTTCTAATTAAGTTTATGTTTTTCATCTACTATTTATTTTTATTTCATGCTATTTATACTATTTTATTTTATTTCAGCTTTATTTCAATTAACGAAAATGATTTTAATAGTTTTATTGAACATTAACAACACATGTTTTGCAGGTTCTGTGGACCCGCCTGCCTTGTGAAAACTTCCACTTACTTATGGCCAGCTCCATTCTTGAGTCACAGAAAGAGGAGCTGATTGGTTCAAATCATGATTTTAACTCTATACTGAAGGTCTGTATAGAATTGTTTTAGCCCATGGAAATATAAAGCAGAACCAGGAATATGACATACACAGTAAGCTAGTTGGTTGATTCTAAACGTGTGTGTTTCCAGCACATTAATGAGCTGACCATGAAGCTGGATCTGCAGTCAATACTCTGTGGAGCAGAGGCTATTTATTTGCAGCTGACACACTGCAAGGTGAGACGGGACAGATATGACTGCTGATATGCTATGAAAAATAACCATGGCCATGCATACTACATAATGCTTACTGACTGCTCTGTTCTCAGGAGCTGCCTTTGAAAGTGCAGGAAGTTCTTGGGTTGCGTGTCCCGTGCAGCTCATCAGACGAGAGTCCAAACTCAGAGCCCAAAGAGACAGACACCCTTCTCACTCAGTCAGAGGCCAGAGGAGCTTCATCCTGCCAGCCGTTTAATGGGCAGACACCACAGCGCACCCCTCCTACATACCCCTAATTCCAGAAGGTGATTGGCAGAAGAGGAACAGATGATTTTAATTTAACTATAATGATGAATAATCCCCCCAAAAATAATGATTAACTTGTTTATAAAATATGGGGAATGTAATTCAGAGATTGAAATCTAGATCAGCAGGAACCTAATAAAAATGAGATCAGCTGACTATTTTATATTGTACTTTCCTAAGAAGGGCCGAGTATTTTCCACATGCTGTTTAAACTGTTAAGTTAATGACTGGGCATTGCAGACAGAGTTTCTGAAGAGAGGGAACACTTACATCCTGTGATGCTTATAGTGTGAGCATTATAGTCGCAGCTCATATTTTATCTGTTAATATTTTATTCTTTTATAAGCATTAGATATAATTGTTTCATCCACTTGTAACAAAGTTCGTAGTTATGTGAAGAGGCAAGCGGGAACTGGCGAACATATAAACAAAACTTTAGTTATCAAATAAACAAACACAAAACAAAAATAAAGCGGCAGCCCCTCACAGACGACTGCCGAATAAAACACAATAAATCAACAACATAAAATGTTCTAGTCCTGGTCCTCTCTGGTCCTTCATTACCTTTGTGGGACTCTTATCACTCATGTCACCGGCCTCGCTCTGTTCCCACGGCTCTCGGCCCTGCCACACCCGTCACATTACTATACTCGCAGTACCCAAAACCATGTTATTCATTATGTATTGTATGATGATGTATATTTGTTCTGTTATCTCTGTCTTTGTTTGTGTTGCCTGTCTCTCCCTCACTTACTTTTCCCTCTCTTTACTGGCATACTCAGAAAATAATGGTGTGCACTACCATTTTGCATGCAATGTAGCAAGAGCTACTTCATATTTCTTCTTTTGTTCATTTTTAACATGAAGCTTTTTCATATGGCTAAAGAATAAAGCATTGGAATTTAGTCCCTGACATTTTGAGTTTGAGGTATTGTTCTTTGCCAAATGTCCACTTTATTGTCAGTCCTTACCCATATAAGAGGATTTTTAACCTTGACAGCCTTGACCCCCAGTACAAAAGCTTTTCAGTAATTCTTCATAACTTGGATTAAAAACGTTAGCTTTATATATGATATGCATGCATTATCTGCATTACATGCATATGCACATTAAGATAATAAAAAAATGTAATGGAAATGTGAATTTTTATTTGAATAAACAAATTAATAAAACAAATCAAGGCCATAGATAAACGTTTTTTTTTTTTATTTTATTATTATTATCTCCGTATCACAATAAACCACTAAAAAGCTTTCTCTGTAAAACTTCAAAATAACCTTAGAATGAAATTACATGTAAATGTTCATTCAGATTTTAGTTTTTATTTTAATAAATGAAAAAACAAATTCATTATTAACAGCCTAGATAAATATTTTCACTTTATTATTATTATTTATTGTAATACCCTAATATACAGTGATGAAAATCTTTCTCTGTAACATTTTATTATAATTTTGATTTAAAACATATGTATTAGCATTACATTGCGTCATGTGTAAATGTACATTCAGATGATAAAAAATGTCTTGGAAATTTTAATAAATAAAAAAATAAAGCAAAAGTCGAAGTCCTATATATATATATATATATATATATATATAATTTAAAATCCCTATTGTTTTTACCCACCTCTCTCTTCCCTTCAGATTCTCACGCAAATGAGTGGATAAGTCGGATAAAACCACTTCATCAGCTACAGGATTACAACAGATCATCCAGTTTAAGAAAAAAGCCTTAAAAGAAGAATGAACTGAGAGATGAGAACTTATTAGATCACTTTTATTTTAAATTTAATAATTTCTCCTCCTTTTTTTCTTATTATTTAGAAACCAAAAAAAATCCATGTTTAGAGTAAAATGAAGAATTGATGAACCAGAAAATCTTATATTTCAACATTTGACATATGTTTTGTTAAACCATTTAATTTATGTCTGTCACAGGACTCGCCACCAATGCTGTCATCACACAAACAAACACATTCACACACTCCATCAGCAGGTGTCTGACTGGGGTTAAAAGATCAGGGTAAATGGGGTCACTGTTGTCCACTGTCCTGCCAAATGAGCTGGAAAATGAGGGGTGGAGAACCACGCCTCCTCACCGGCCTGCTCACTGCTCTTTCTGCTGTTCGTCCTCCTCTTTTCTCTTTCCGTCTCTCTCTCGCCCTCCCTTCATTTTCCCACTGTGTTTGTTTGAATACAGCTGCAACGTATGAATTTAGCATGGCACTTAAACAGCCCTGCGATCTGCCACCCTTCTTTGTCTTGTACACAAACACACACTTTTACTCCTGAGACTCATCTTGTCACTTTTATGGCTGGCATGACCTCGCTTTACTGGAGAACAGAAAATAAGAAGAGTGTCTCATTCAAACTCAATCTGCACAGAGTTAAGCTCTAGTTAGTTTTCAAGGGCTAAAGCAGTTCAAGCAGCTCTGTGGTGTCTGAGTGAAGTCTCCCTTTGTGCATTTGAGAACTTCATCAGTTTTTAGAGGGTTATTGTGCGATGAGAGTTATATCGGACTTTTCACATTTTCACATTGTTCTGTTCTCTTTACTTTTCACACAAATGGGGAGAGATGAATATGTTATTCGGGACACTTTTTCTATTGCTTTTACAAACACCCAGACTTACAGTTTTCACCTGGTGGTTTATAAATCTGTGAAAATAAGTCATATTTAGAAATCCAAATATCATAGAGACTTAGGGTTGGGCTTATTTGACGTGGGCCAGTTAACGATCACCTAGCAACCAGTCAGAACACCCTGGCAACCACCTTAAACATCCTACTGATCGCATAGCAACCCCCTGGCAACCACCTATAACTTCCTATAGCACTGTGTCAATCAGAGACGTGTCTTCTCTATAGGTCTAAACAATGTCTTCAAACTGTTTGCTGATTTGTAAAGACATTAAACAAATTAAATTCTACAACTTTCTGAAATACATTTTTATATGAACTCAAACTAAAAATATGCTATTCACATTCAACAGTTTTTTTTACATTCACTCTATGACAGCAATTGTCTTGTTTCTGTATTTCTATCAATTCAAAAATCAAAGATTTTAATATGAATGCAAAAAATGTCTCTTAAAATTATTCCATAAAGATCTGAATTATGTTCTGTATAATTCTTAACTATATTCTGTGTAACTCTATTCTATCCACAATAATTTCTTATATTTCTTTCACCATATTCTATCATTCTATTTATGAGAAAAATCAAAAACTTGAGCTAATATAATTTTTATTTTAACCAAATTTCCCCCTAACTATTTATATACATATACATATACATTGGACTAAACAAGGCTGAATGTATTTGATGAAAAATGCAGTATGAATGTAATATCTTCTAATATATTATATATGTATTACTTCATTTGTAAAGTTGTCATGGCAAAAGTTTTGATCTTAGTGCTGGTGTGTTGGGACCACAAAAGCTATAGAAGCAAATGAAATTCACACAAATAGCTGATGTCCTGTGAATGAATGAACTAAATTATAAATAATAATAATAATAAAAAAACTGTTGCTGTGAAGAAAGGTAGAATCAGCTTTGTATGACTCATTTTTTTTTTACAAAAACTCAACTTCTGAAATGTTCAGCCACCTGTAGACGCACTGACAAATCCAGTCCTGAGGTCTCCACTTCAGCGTGTCCTGCTGTGACTGTGAGGGCAGTCCAGGAGTCGAGTGCGAGCGTGTGAAGTGTGTGTGAAGTGAGTGGGAGCAGAAGGCCAGGCACTGGTGTCTGACAGTGATTTGTAAAGAGAGACAATACGGCTCATTGACCTGCCGGTTCCACTGTCTGTTGCACATACTTCGCCCAGCCCTCCCATGAGGACTCACCGCTCTTTAAACAGGACACCAGATTGCCACAGGCCCAGGGAGGGGGTGAATGAGTGTGTGCTGTGTGAGATGGAGAGGCATAATGGGAGACTCATTGCTTTGACAATGAGATTCCACACAAAACGGGGGTGACGGGGTGATTAGGTGGCACGTGAGCAAGTGTGACTTCAGTGTGAAGAACACAGAAGTTGCACGCTCTCCAGCTCTACCCATCAGTCTCAGTCTCTGTCTCACATTCGTGTATCAGATTTCAAAAAGCTTTTCCATCTGCTCTGAGCCTGATGTCATTTCAGACCTGGAAAATCAGGTGTTCTGGGTTATCAGTTTCAGTCTTACTGCAGTTTTTGTAGTAACAGCCTTTTGAGGCTTCATTGCAGCCACAAAAGGCTGTTACTACAAAAACTGCAGTGATAAATACCAATAAATACCAAAATCCAGTGCTAAAAACCAAACTCGTTCAATAAAGTAAAGCACTTAACTAAAAACTCTTTTACATTTTCAGTTTGTCACATGAACCTTAACCAACATTTGAGAACTCTGAACATGTGCACGAGTTGTTAAATTATTCAAATATTAAATGAGAATCTCGGAGGGTAGTTCAAGTAAATATTTAAGGTCTGCCTGACAAATGTTTTGGAATCTTTGTTTTAAAAGTTCAGTGAAAGTAGGTGCTTAACTTTTAGAAAATATTGATCTAATTGTATTAGTATGATATGAGTTCTGTTTTCTATTCCCTTATTGTCATTTGTATAATATAACCATACATACCAATGTATAATATAATATAATAATGATATATAATATAATATCATATAATAATAATAATATAATATAACAATTAAATTAAATAGGCACGATTTAATTTAATTGTTATATTATATTATTATTATATAACAATATAACATAACAATTAAATTAAATCATGCCTATTTAATTTAATTGTAAATTGTAAAAATAATTACTATAAGGTGGTATTCAATGATAAACTTCTATTTTCCATAAACTTAAGAAATATTTGGTTATGTTTTCTTACAACATAGGGTTGAATGGTTCAGCTTTGAGTTAATCATTAAAAATAAACTGAAACTGAATACTAATTCAATATGATGTCAAAATTAAGTCTGATGAGAAACAGACCAAAATCACAATTTCTGAGAGATACAAACATTTGATATGTTTTTTAAACTCACTACTTTTTTAGTGCTAGGTTAGTGTTATGTTAGATAATAGTTCATCTAACATTTCTAATGGGTGTCACGAGACAAAAATGCCATTCATGTCTCTAATGCTAAAGTTATGAGAACATATTTGTGGAATGTGCCTTGAGAATGCTTTAAACACCATGACCTTCAACCACTAGCAGGACTTTGTCAAATACATCACAGTCCATGAATTACTGCATATGCTGTTTTAAATCTTTATTTGAAATATAGATGTGTAAATGTAATCCCACCATCTTTATCTGATACCCTTCACTGTCAACAAACATCCAGGTCTTATTGTTATTCATTCCCATTGTCACAGCATGGTGATGACCTCTTTCTCTTCTCTCTCTCGCTCTCTCTTTTCTTGGCTCAGTGACGGTGACAAGCTGTTGCTCTGTCCCTCTGGGCGACTCCCTCTCCTGTCTGCGCTCCTCTCTCCTCCCTCTCTCTCTCTCCCTCTCTCCACCTGTTGATGCCATTGTTGCTCAGCCAGCATTGTGGTCTTTTATTTTTTTACTCCACTCATTTTACACACCCCTCTTTTATTCTTCACTTTCTCACTTTTTTCATCAGCAGTCACCCTTTCACTCAGAGGATATATAAGCGGACCGAAGAGAGAAGGCAGCTGAGAAACGCACACAGACACTCACTCACCAGCACACATTTAAATCCAAGCACTTTCAAGAGGGCAAGGACGTTTGCACAAGCTCTTTTACTCGGGACCAAGACTTCTGAGACACACTTGGGACAGCTTCAGTATTGGATCACATCTGCTGGCAGGAGTGATGTCTGTGTCTCTGTGGTGTGAGGAGGAAGAGGGCCAGGACAAGACTCAGTCTTCGGTCCGAGCCCCATGGGACCCCAGCGCCTCCGGACTGAGGGTTATTCAGAGACTTCTGCAGTCAGAGGAGAGATACCTGCCATCTCCTCTCTACATCTCTCTCATCCAGAGAGAACCACAGCGCAGAGAGGAACTGGCCAAGTGGACCATGGAGGTAGTTTTTACATGATAAAAAACAAAATCCAGTGCAAGTCAAATATGTTGTTCATGTTTTTAATATCAGTAATTTTGTATTTTAAGCACTTTTTACAATTAGTGTACAAAATTCATAGTTATAAACAAAAGTTGTAAAACAAAGATTATTAGTTTTACAAAAAAAAAAAAGTTTTGCTGCTTGAGAATTTTATATTTATTCAATATTTCACTTTTACTTTCTAAACTCACTAGAAAGTTATAAAGGAAAAAAACTCCATACCATTTTTGTCAGTATAGGGCCTGAAACTCTTAAACTAGGGATTCCCAAATTGTGGATATGTATGTGAGTTGCTGAAAAGCGAATAATTAATTAAATTATAAAAATGTCAAATTAAAATAAATAATTTTAAAATTAAACAATTAAAGTAAAACACTAATAACAACAGTGAAACACTCTGAGAAGCTGGGCAAGTGGACCATGGAGGAAGATTTTGGGGCTTTCTGGAGATCTGTAAACTGCTTACAATGGTTTAAAAATATAGTCGTCACACCTAGGCTCCAAAAATACAAAAATATAATAACTGACCATTTCATAGGTGGCGTTTCGAGCACGCAGGCTCTTCTTCAGACAATTAAAAGTTTTAAACCCACATGCCTTTATACAACAGGTGATTAATCACATGACACAAAAAAGTAGCATAAAGCCATGAAAAAAACAATACTAAAAATAATACTAAATATGAAAGTGTAGTTCTAAATATACAACAGTAATGACAATGTCAATATTACCTGCGTTTATTATCCTAAAGAAAAATATACTTCATATTTTCATATTTATGTTTATAATTAAAGGGATGGTTCTCCTAAAAATGAACACAAAGGAAGATATTTTGAATAACGTTTCAAATGTTTTTGTCCATACAATTAAAAAGTCAATGGAGCTGAAAGAACATCGGACCCACTGACTTTCATTGTATGAGCAAAAACACTGAGATATTTTTCTAATAAAGAAAGTCAGGTTTGGAAAGACATGCATAAATAATGACAGAATTTTCATTTTTGAGCGAAGTATCCTTTTAATAGCAAATTATTTGAGGACATCAGATCAAAATGAAGCATACTAACTGACAGGGACAACGTTTCTACAGTCCTTTATATGTTTGCTTTGACTATGAGGGTTTTTTTTTGGTGCTGTTTAAATCTTCCTCTTCTGTGTTTTCATAGGTGTGCTGTGAATGTGACTGCGATGAGTCTGTATTTCCCCTGGCTGTCTCACTGTTGGATCGATATCTGTCGGCCACTCTATCCCTGCCTGTCTCTCCATCATGTCTGGCTGCAGCTTGTGTTCTGGTGGCCTCAAAACTGACAGAAAGTGACACAGTTAGTGCAGATGCACTCTGTGCGGCAGCAGAGTACGACTTTCTCTCATCAAACCTGCGGGTGAGTGTTTTTAAAAAATCAATCAAAATTCACTGAAAGCTCAATATTATGGACAATGTTGTCCAAAAGTCTGAAGCAATAAAATAAATCATTAAAAAATAGTGCTGTTTTGCATTTTTCTAATTTAACACTTTTTTTCCCCATTAGAAATGAAATAATTTAAGTGAAAAGTTTTGGAGAAAAGAACTAAAAGATGAATAAAAATGACATATACACATGCATTTAGACAGTACAAGTCAGTATATGCTTACTCCGGCAGGAAGTGGAGCGTGTGGTCCTGGCGACTCTGCGGTGGGATGTGGCAGCAGTGACCCCTCAGGACTTTATCCCACACTTCCTGCGCACGCTCGGGGAACTCAAGGATCGTGACGTGCATACAGGAGACTTTGTCGCAACGCTGCGGCGCCACAGCGATACACTTGTTGCCATGTGTGTGTGTGACTCACGCTTTCTGGGAACACCTCCATCACTGGTTGCAGCGGCTGCACTGAACTCTGCCCTGCGGGGTTTAAGAGCCAAGAGTGCGGGAGAGCTGAGTGTCATGACCTCTGCCCTGGCCACACTCTGTCAGACTGATGTGGTAAGCGAAGATTTATCTGAGAGAGTATGAGAGAACTAAACATAAAATAACAATAATAATCATTTTTAGAGAGAGAGAGAGAATTATTATTATTATTATTATTATTATTATTATTATTATTATGTTCCTGCTTGTATGTCTCTTTGACTCTTGTTAACTATTCCTGCTTGTGCCGACAGGCGGTGCTGCAGTGCTGCACTGAGCTGATAGAGGGAGCTCTCAGGGAGAGACTGAGGAACGGAGCACACGAGGAGAAAGATGATGATATTGAAGATGAAAGAGCCAGCACACCCACAGACCTAAGAGAAATAGACTTTTAATGCAGGGTTAATTATGATATTTATTGCGTCTCACTTTTATTTATCAGTAAAACTGATTTAAACACAATGTGACATTTATGTGTTGTCTTATGTAACTTCTGAAGTGATCTAATTTATAATCATTTTTATTTATTTGTTTGAGGGATTACGATTTACTTGTGCCATATTTATGAACTTCTATTGCCATAACTGTAATTGTGACTTCTTATGCATTTCAGGTTTATCCTTTTCACTTTATGTATTACATTTCTACGTTTTATATGATCATATTATTTATTGTGTGCACATTTTTATATTTAATTTATTTTGTTTGTCAGTGTTTCAGCTTGTTTGTAATCAAAGTGTTGGGTAAAAACGAATATCTATTTTTAGAATTAAAATAAAGGGTCTATGTTTGCCAACAATGTGCATCTCTCAAAGTCTATTTATCAAGAAAGAAAGAAAGAAAGAAAGAAAGAAAGCAAGGTATTCTAAAAATGTAATTAGTTAGGACTCTCAACGTCCATCTAGCACAAATAAAATATGAAACAAGAGTAAGAAAGAAAGAAAGAAAAACATTGTGCAAGATCTTCTAAAAACTAAATTAATCAATCTTGGTCCTTGCGGTTTTTTTTGCAAAGTTTTATTATTATTATTACGTAAATAAAAAAAAAATAGAACATTTTTACTTTACATCCAAATAACGGTTGTTTTGTTTAGGGACACTTACATTACATTGGCCTTTTTGGTAAAGTGGATTAATGGAATTATATTTTTAAAAAGTTATCCCATTTATAATTTTGATAATTAACGGTGTTACAGATACAAAATACTGTAGGTTCATGTTTGCAGAAAGCGTCGCGTTTGGATTGCATCATTAATGCGTCATAATTCATGGCCGCACTTGTTTTTGAGGCAGCAACGCTGAGTAATTTGTAGTCAGAGGTTTCACTCACCGCTCAAAGAGGATCTGACCCAGTGGTAAGAGAACTCGCCGTGTATTTGATTTAGACGATAGAGTTTCAGACCAGACGACTCTACAGACGTCGGTAGATGTCCGTGACTGTTTTTCTCATGAAGTTGAGAATTGTGATTGTGAAACATGTTCAGTGTGTTTTCGCGAACTGTCCTACAGACTTCCTTTTCTTCGGCTGCTCTCTCTCTTATCATGATCGATGTGTACTTATATAAATAAACCTGTCTGCTTAAAGAGACCGCTTTCTCTCTAAAAATAAGCTAATGATTCTTTCGTGTCAAGGTATACCTTTAGGGTGAAAGTAAATGCTGTCTAATCGATGTATACAAAGGTATCCCAGGATGACTGGAGTCTTGAAGGTGCTGCTGCTTTTGTCTCTGTGTCTCGTGGTGTGGACAGTGCCAATAGATCGCAACCAAGACCCTCCTGAGGAGGAGAAACCAGAGGAGAATGCGGTAAGACAGGTCGCAAATCTTGCTCATAGACTAGAACATGCCATGTGCATTAATCATTTTGTTCAATATTAACTTGCTCTCTTGTTTTGGCTGTATGTGCATATCTCAGGATACTGGTCTGTACTATGACCGTTACCTCAGAGAGGTGATTGAGGTGTTGGAAACAGACCCTCACTTCAGAGAAAAACTCCAGACTGCCAACACAGACGACATCAAGGTAAAGCACTCACTATGTAGAGCACAACAACAGTAGGGCTCCAAATGGAAGAATCCCATTCCTCTTCTTTATAAAAATGATAAGGTATAAGTATCCTTCAAGACAGACCTACCAGGAGCTCAAGAGTAAGTTATAACATATGCTTCCGTAGAGGTCACAAGTAAGTTTGATTTCAGCTTAATTTTTAATCTAGTTGGTCACATACTCTCACAAACAACTTATTTTTATATAATCTTCCGTCTGTTTATTTATTTATTTATAATTATATATAAATGTATTTTAATAATGTGTATTGTATTTTATGTGTGTAATGTATTATAAACTAAACACTTAGTTTATAACTAAACACTGTATAAAGTATACAGTGACTATTAGTCAATTACTGTATGTATCATTTTTTTATATAATTGGGGATGTGTAGGTCATTACCTCATAAAATACATTAAGTACACAGTCTTGTTTTGCTTTTTTGTTGTTGTTGCTTCAAATTAAAGTTTGTAATGTGATTCATCACAGTGCTGGTTCATGGTTCAAAAGTGCTTTTTTTAATTTATTTTCTTTATTATGAACTCTAGGAATTTTTATAGATTTTAATAACATGTATTTTATATTTATTACATACTTCGGTACAGTGATTTTTAGTTCTTATACATTGTATTGTTATTTTTATAATTTTATGTAATTTGAGATGTGTAGGGCATTGCTTCATAAAAGACATTAGGGCCTTTCGCACCGCTTTAGTTCCAGAACTAAATGTACAGTACATTTGCTACAAGTGCCTGCACTTCAGCGTCCGTCCATCTATCGCTGTTCTCCATACTTGCGAAATAAGTTGACACAATGTTTACAGTATGTTTACACGGCGTTTTAAATCATGGCGAGTGAGGGCGTTTTTATACGCGTTTGGCCAATCAATGTCTACTTACGTCACGATTAGTACCAGTTGTGCTGGTTAGACCCTGCTCCGGAGTAGGAGCTCATTTGGTTCTCGAAAAAGGCAGTCCGGTACTAAAATAGCACCCAGTTCTGGCGGTGCGAAAACGCCAAAAAGTGGGTAGTTCCACAATTAGTTCTGGTACTATGAAAAGGTTTCCGCGGTGCGAAAGGCCCTAATAAGTGCATAGTACTTGTCCCATTGTTTTTTTCTTAAATTTTCATGCTTTTTTGCTTCAATTCATTAAAGTTTGTAATGTTGTGATTCATCTCGTTCATGGAGCTGGTTTGTTTGAAAATGAATGAGGAAAATACCAAATATGCAATATGTCTCTAATGCTGTTTTGCCTTTGAGCATTGAAGTTTTATCATTTCATCTGTACTTTATGTCCTTAATGGAAAGATACTGTGTTTTAGAATGGACGCCTCAGTAAGGAGTTGGATTTGGTGGGCCACCATGTGAGGACGCGACTGGATGAGCTGAAGAGGCAAGAGGTCTCACGCCTCAGGATGTTGCTGAAGGCTAAACTGGACGGCACCAACGCACAGAGTGAGTGTGTTTGTGTATTACTCAAGTGATACTGATGAGCAAGAAAATCTGTTGACGTGACTCCGCGCATGTTCACGCAAATGCTTTGTTGTGATTGCAGGTGTTCAGATGGATCATGCCTCCTTGTTGAAGCAGTTTGAACATCTGGACCCTCATAATCAGAACACTTTTGAGGCCAAAGACCTGGAGCTGCTTATCGTCACGGTAACACCCATTCTTAACATGCCATAATGTGAAATTGCAAAAAATCATAAACCAACAACATAGATTGACAAGCATTCAGTACATACTTGTTCAGCAACTACATTTAACCTTCACCAAGTTTCAAATGCGAGTAAATAAAATTCTGATCTTCTTTTCTTGTTTCTGTGTTAATCCAGATTTATCAGATTATAGTATACATATTTTTTTTTTAACCCTTTTTATTTTTAAGTTTCCTTTATTTGATTTTTCTATACAAAATAACAAGAGATAACCGACCCATTCACCATAAGGGAAAATTTCACAATATTATTACCACAATTAACAAAATCCCAGCCAACTGCATACAATAAAACAGTGAAATAAAATATAGGGCAATAAAATAAAATTAGAAAAAAAAAGAATAATACATAAAAACACAATACATAATTTAAAAATAAATAATAAAATCAACTAAATAAAAATAAAGTGAAGAGTCATACACATTTCTTGTGCTTATTTGTTAGGCCACTAAAGATCTTGAGAATTATGATGCAGAACGTCATGAGGAGTTTAAGCGCTACGAGATGCTGAAAGAACATGAGAGGAGGGAGTACCTGAAGAGTTTGGACCAGGAGAAGAGAGAGGAGGAGGAGAAGAGAATCGAGGAGCTGAAAGAAAAGCACCGACGACATCCTAAAGTTAACGCTCCGGTGAGGGGGTGAAGAAAGGGAGATGTATGGATAGATAGATTGATTGAGATTTTGCTAAGTAAAACTTTCTTCGTTTACTTCCTTTTCATCCTTTCAGGGTAGCGTGGATCAGTTACGGGAGGTCTGGAAAGAGACAGATGGGCTTGATCCACAGGAGTTCAATCCCAAGACATTCTTTAAGCTCCACGGTGAGCCTTTTTGTCCTCAACCAGTCCATAAGCAGCCGTTTCACAGGCAAAATGAATTGAATTGCATTTTCTCACTTAGATACAAATGGTGACGGTGTGTTGGATGAGCAAGAGCTGGAGGCCCTCTTCACAAAAGAGGTAATGTTTCACCTTTGAGGTCGGTGAATCATTGCAATCTGTTATTGACAGTGATGGAAGCCTCTGAGTCAGTAGTTAAGACTCTAGTGGGCTCTAATGGCTGTCCTGAGTAAAACATCATCAACAGAGGAATCCATAAATAAGTAAGATGGCACCGCACATGGCCGCCTCAGTGCTTGGCTCTCCAGTGTTTGTACTGTTTTTGTTAGTTTTTCCTGTTTTTTGTTTCTCAAACACGATATTATTCTTTTTATTATCTGTGTCCTGTCTTGTCACTGTCATTCTGTTGCACTATGGAGCTTCTGTCACTAAAACAGATTCCTCGTATGTGTAAACATACCTGGCAATAAAGCTCATTCTGATCTTCTGATAATGGCACGTTTGATGAAGCTCATGAAAGCTGTTCTTGACATGCAGAAAACGAGCAAATGGCAATAACTGAAAAGGTGCAAGCAGTTACTATCTTTCCGATGTGTTCATCTTTTCTTTTTTACTGTCTTAGCTGGAGAAGGTGTATGATCCCAAGAATGAAGAGGATGACATGATGGAGATGGAGGAGGAGAGGCTGAGGATGCGGGAACATGTCATGCAAAACGTAAAACCTTCACTTTCTTTCACAGTGACTCTTATTGAGTGTGTTTATATGTATAAAAAAATGCTAAAAACTAAACCCAAATCAGTTCAAAAAAGCCTA